CACACCATGTGTGTCAAGCGGTCGTCAATGTGTTAATATTGGTCTAATCTTTATAACAGTTTTTATCTCCCAAATGCTTACTTCTCAAAACTTGCTTTCTCTTCTTGAGAGCTGACACCAGCGCCTTCGTGAGAATCAGTACTTCTGATGTTTTGGGTATCTATGACTTATCGCCGTTTTCAAAATATTCTTATGTTGATCTCGTTGATTGATGCTGTTATTTAGGCCTATTTCTGAGAAAATCGTTAGGAATAATGTTTCAGCTACATCTGATTCATTTAGAGTATGTCATTTTAGGTATTGAATCACGATAGCGAAGTCTCGAATCTTGCTTGGAGTCCAGATGGTAAGCTTCTCGCCTCAGTCTCAAATGATGAATCATTATTCGTGCATGATGTGATCACAGGTAAGATATTTTTTTACCCTCTGAAAAGAAAGCACCAGTTTCTATTCCTTCAGGGAAACGCTGTGTTTCTGTACGAAAACTGCGACATTTCCCTAGCGGCGTGGCATGGGATCCGAAAGGAAAATACATCGTAACGATGTCCACTGATCGTAAAATGGATCTTGTAGACGCTGTAAAAGGCACTAGATTACGAGCTTTCGGTGTTTGTGCTTTGCCTGAAGTTGCTATCGGTGATGTTACTTTGGAGCATAAGGTATAGTAAAATTGGTTGGAAAACGCTCGATCAATCCCTTTTTTTAGGTGTACAAACTTTTCCATGATGATCAGTTAATGAGCTTCCAAAGGGGAGTAGCCTTCTCACCATGTGGACAACTAATCATTGCGCCATGTAAGTTTGTTTTTCTATGTTTACCCAATTTAAGAGCCTAATTTTTCCAGGTGCCGATCTAGAAGTACATACGCATGATATCTATGGCACATATATCTTTAGAAGAAGTGATCTAGAACAGTAAATTTTCACAATTTTCTTTCTTTTCTCTTCCTCATTAATGGCGTCTTCTAGTGACAAACCGTTGGCCTTTTTACCTTGTCCTAAGCCTACTTTCCTTATTCGATGTTGTCCGTTACTAATGACTCTTGAGAAAGAAGAGGAGAATTACACAGGGTAAGTGTCTCCCTCGCGCTGCTCTTAATCTCTGGACAATCTTTCAGTTTACCTTACCGGATTTTGTGGCTGGCACTCACAAAGGACAGTGTTTATTTTTACGATAGCCAGCATCGTAACCCTATCGGCCTCGTAGAAAATATTCAATATAACAGTCTTACCGATGCTACTTGGAGTTCTGATGGAAAAAATATTGTCATATCGTCGCTTGAAGGCTATTGCACATTTTTGAAACTCACTGTAGATAAATGGGGATGTCAGGTTTGTGCTCACTTTTCGGTATTTCTCATAGCACTTACTTTCTATTTTCATCCAGATCAAACAAGAAGATGCGCAAGAATGTCCACCGTCTCCGCAACTTATTCAGACTAAGAAACGAAAGCCCAGAGAGAAGAAAGTTAAAGGTATGTGCAAGCTTAGCCTTTAACCATTCTTCTCTTCTATTACCCACTTTTCATTTCAACCTTCAATACTGACTGATATCATAGTCTTAACAATTATTAGTATGTGTCTGCAGCATCATTATAACAGCTTTTACGGAATATTTTGCAGAAACTAAAGAGGAAGCTGCCGATTCTCCTGGTCCTCCCTCCCAAAAGACACCATTACGACCATCACAGCAAACGACCACTACCACTCCGAAATCGGGTAACATATTCCGCTACCTTCAGACAAAGGGAGAAGATTCACCTCACGCTAGCGCACCTGGAAGTCCTACCACGCCATCAAGGTAAGTTACCTAGTCTCTAAGAATGGCAATTCATCTTTTTCCCTGTTGCTTCCCAATAAACTGTTTTGTTGCACTGCATACATAATACGGCTATAGACTTTCTAGATCAATTGTGATTCCACAAAAACGCAAATCAAATTTGACCCAAGAATTTGTATTTCAATTTGTGAAGCTGTGCACTAACTTAGGGCATTTGCTAACTGCTCTTTTCCAGAAAGAAATGTGACAACAACACGGACGCGGC